TCCCATTCAGTAGGTGGAGCTATTTCTTTCCCTGGACTGGAATGTGACCTGTGAATGCCTCCAGAGGGAGAATACAGTAGAAGTAACACTGTATGATTTCTCAGGACCGGTCATGAAAGACAGTATGGCTAATACCAGTAAAGATTCCCTCTCAGTGTACCTGCCCCAGAACCCAGCCACCACCTTGTGAGGAAGCCCAAGCCACAAAGCTACTTCAGTAAATCACATGTAAAGATTCTGGAAAAATCTAGCAAAGTCCCCAGCTGACAGCCGGATATATAAGTAAATGAATCTTGAAGTGATTCTACTAGTTCATAGTCTTTGGGTCCAACAACTAAGGTATTAAATATTGTAAGGCAGAAACACTATGTTCTGTCTGAAAGCATAAGAAAGTATTAGTGTTTTGAGATAATGTTATGTAGCATTAGATAATACACTTGGGTTTGGACCCTGAATTCACACTGCCTCTGTGGTCTGAAAAAACCTCAATTTTAAAATTTTAGAGTCATCTGAGGTAGATGTCTGTTTTAGCTGCTTCGCTAAAACAAAAGTAAATCATCAAAATCTTGGCCGTCAGGTTCCTGGGCCGCCCGGGGCATCCTGCCAGCTGCTCCTCGAAACTGTGGGGCAATGGCAAACGGAGCAGACAGGCTCCACGCCAGACCCCGCCGCTCATCACAGTGGCCACCTGCAGAGGGGCGGGACCGGGACCCATCCAGGCGAGACCAAGAGCCCGAGCGGAGCCAGGAGCTGGGAGCCTGGCTGCACTGCCCATCCGCGGACTGACGTGTTTTGACTGATGGCCGATCCGGCTCGTGCAAACAACTACCGAGTGTCTCTGTCTGTCTTGCTCTGGGAAGAGAAAGCGAGGGAGCCCCAGAAAGTTACAGAGGAACTGGACTGGGGAAACGAGTAGAGGAGGGCAGATTCCGGCCAGACTGCTTCTGCAAGTAGCACTTGGGATTACAATTCTGCGAGCCCATTGTCTCGGAAGGAGCTGCCGAAATTGCTGGGTACCAAGCACTATGGGAGGCTGACAGGTGCAGAGGCCTGAGTCGGACACCCCCTGGCCAGGTCCCATTACAGGGATATTTCAAATCCTATAACAACACCCAAGATTACATACTTCAAGAGGAAGTATGTGGAAGAAGAGGATTTTCACCCGCCACTCAGCTGCTGTAGCCATAACAATCTTGATTTTTGAGTAATGAGTCCACACCCTTTATATGCCCCTAGAAAAGCTAAAGTTTATTGATGACCCTGAAGTGTACCTCCGACGATCTGTTCTTATAAACAGTTTGATGAAGAGGATCCAAGGCGAAATCATCATGCAGAGTAACTGGTGCTTTCTGGCTTGCTCTTCCGGCAGCGCCTCTGCCCAAGAGTGATTCACGGAGACTGTCTTTACCGAAAACGACCACGCAAGGCCAAGGAGGAGTGTGAGGAGTTCCACGCCTGCTGCTTTTACCAGGAACGTGGAGGCCACTACCTAAATCTACCCTTTCATCGACCCGAGTGTTGGAAGCGCCTCCACCGTCTCCTCCTCCTTTCCCCCTCCCCCTTTCCTCAGTTGTTCCCACCAGTTGGATTTTGATGCCTCAGTAGTAACAATAACATCAGAATCAGACAGACTACAGAAATTGGAATTATTAGAGCCGTGTTTAATAAATTTAAATAAAAGGATATAAGAGTATAAGAGTAACAAACTATAGTATTTGCAACAGGAACATGTAGACATGAGCAACAGATTAAAGGACAAAATTATATAATCATTAGCTCAATACATATGTAAAGCTTTAGGTATAAAACTATTGACAGCTGGGCTGGTGACACCAACCTGTAATCCCAGCTACTCTGGAGGCAGAGGATCACAAATTTGAGGCCAGCCTGGACATAGCAAGATGCTGTTTCTTACAGAAAAAAATATGGAGGTTGGGAGTGTAGTTCACATGCCTGGGTTGGATCCCCAGCACCAAAACCAAAACAACAACAACAACAACAAAAAACAAAACTATTAACAGGCACAAAAGAAGGCCATTACAAATGAGACATATCATAAAATGATTATGGGGAAAGAACTTATATGGTAAACGTTTCCTTATATTAATAGTAATACTGTAATTACAGTATTCAGAAGGCTGAGGCAGGAGGATCACTGAAAGTTTGAGGCCAGCCTGTGCTATATAGTGAGTTCAAGGACAGGTGGACTACATAAGTGAGAATTTGTCTCAGGAAAAAAAAAAAAAAAGTCAATGAAATTCCAATAAAAATATTAAGCAAAGTTTTTCTTTAAACCAAGCTAATTCTAAAATGTACAAGTGTCTTTATTTTATTATTATTATTATTTTTTGGGTAATGGGGATCAAACTCAGGTCCTTGTGCTTGCAAGGCAGGCACTGGAACCACTGAGCTAAATCCCCAGCCCTGTACAAGTGTCTTTAGAAGAAAAAGGTCAAAAAGAGTAAACATACCTTGAACAATAAGAGGTCTAGTCACAGTAGACAATAGTGGTAAAAAAGCTAAATTAATTAAGATATGGATATCAGACTGACTGTAGCAGAATATAATAGACAAGAAATACATGGAAATCTGATACATGAGCTGGCAGTGCATCTAGAGGGAAAGTGATGAATTGTTTTCCAAACCTCAATCTTTCCTTTGAAACCATTTTTCACACTGCCATGGAATGATCCTTTGAAAATAGAACCGATTATGTTTCTTTACCTAAGCTATTTAATGACATCCTACTCTCTAGGCTTGCCAAGTGTTCTACCACTGAGGTAGATCCTAGTCCCTAGATTCCTGTTTTTTACATTACACTGTTAATTCAAGAGTATGGGGAATGTTTAATCTATACATTTTTTTAAAAGTTCAGAATTTTGAAAATAATTTTAGTGCCAGGGATGTGGTACTGGGGATCAAACCCAGGGCCTTACACATGCTGGGCAAATGCTGTACAACTGAGCTACAACTCCAGCCTCATGGATATATTTTTTATTAGAAATAGCTGGGTGTGGTGGTGGTGAATGTCTATAATCCTAGCACTCTGGAAGCTGAGGCATGAGGATTGCTTCGAACTGGAGGCCAGTCTGGGCTACATAGTGACAGCCTGAACTACATACTGAGACCCTGTCTCAAAAA